GCAGGAATGGGGTCAATAACAGAGCGAGTGTACACCTGCAAATGACACAGTAACCAACATAAGTAAATATGAAGTACACAGAGAATGTGAAATCTGACATTTTTACAACATATCTCAAACATTATTCTGCATTATGATGCTATATAAGGTGGCTCACACTCTTTGTGTGTTCTGGTCGTGGTGCCACAACAGGGGGCGGAGTTCCATCATCATCATCATCATCATCATCGTCAATGTCTTTCATATTTGGAGATGAGGGTTCAGTGCCTTTTTTGATGGGCTAACTCAGAAGGAAAGAAAAACTTGGCACCCTTTCTAAGAGAAAACATAGCACACATTAAGCAGCTTTCTGAATATCTTGAAATACTCACGGACTGAGGCCCTGGAGTGAATGAGTCTTTTTCTGTGAATGAAAAAACAAAACAGAAGACATATTTTAAACACATTTTACTACATGTAGTCACAGATTTAACAAGGTGTTCTCAAAGGATGTTACTTCAGGACCTGTATTACCCACTGTACTGCCTGATCAGTCACTGTATCATGCAAGGTAAAACTAATCAAATTCCTTCTGACAAAAGGGAAAAATCAAATGCTAAGCAATTATTAACTTATATCTACTAAATGCGGTAGCTCTTTATTTAAAGTTTTTAGTGAGACAACCTATCAACTTTGCCAATTCAATCCACTAATGAAAACTATTAAATTTAACATCAATTCATAATACTGTGTAGGTAACCAAACAGAACTTAATCTAACTTAGTGACTCACCAGAAGATGAGAAGCTGAGGTACTTCTGACGACCATTGCCTGTGGAGTCATAGAACTTAAGAACGTCAAGCACAGCCTGTGGATTTTTCTTCTGCTCTGACTTGGTGATGTTTGAGGTCTGGAGGAGTCGAGCCCATTGCTCTGGCATACCCTGTGCATCACAAATATGTATCAGAATGGATCAGACCAAGATGTAATGGAAATGCCAGAACACAGAAGGCAGTGGAAGAATATTATGAGAGAGACCAAACACTGAAAACTCACAGTGAATTCCCCTGTGACAGCATCAAACCCAACATGAATGGTGTGTTCGAAATCTGAGGGTGGTGAGATCTCTGGTCTTTCTTTGTCCTTGTCTTTCTTTCTACTGACTGAAAGGAAATTAATTATTATTGAAATGATACAGGACAACATTTAGAAGGATAACAAACACTAGATAATTTTAAAGTTACATATTTTGTCTAATGTCAAACACATCTCACTTTTTTCAGCCCCAGTGAAGATTGAGATGATCTTGTAGCGTTTCCGCTCCTCAGGCACAGAAGGCAGAGGTTTTGAGCTGTGGTTGGTTGACAGTGAGTCTTTGCCAGAGCTAGTGCTGAAGATGGTGCTGCTCATTCTGACTGGAGGGGCAGGGGGTTTATCCTCAGGGTCACCGTTATCACACATTGCTATAAGGTTGTTGTGAGCCTCACAGTGGAGTACAGTGGGAGAGGATGGAGAAGGTGGCAACCAGAGGGAGCGAGGCTGCGCTCACATAAGCCTCTGGCAGCGTGTGCTCATGCACTACAGATGAAGATGACAGCAGAAGAGAAAGGAAGCACCACTTTGTACCTGTAAGAAAATCAAACAGTTATAAGACCATAAAGATCATATAAAGGTTACATATACAGAAGGACGAACTACTTCCTCCTATGAAACCATGACATGCTAAACTCTTGAAAGCCCGTCTTCTTGCAGGCAAAAATGTATATTGGCAATTCCTGTACAAAATACTACTACTTAACATAAACTACAATGCCCAGAGTGGACAAAAGGGTGCCTGAATTTTTAAGCACTGTGGAAATTATTGTAATTAAAAATGATGTCAAAATCTATTTAATAGTGCGGGTGAGAGAAAACTTCGTTTAATTGTAAAGGAGAGACTGTGATAGCAGAATAAAATCAGTGAACACAGGTCACTTTGAAACAACTTTATTCCTCTGAATCTAATGTTAGACTGAAAAATGTTGCAAGCATTAATCATCTTATCTCGTATCTGAACGAGAAGCCCAGACGGAAATAAACGAATTATTCTCTTCTTCTCGTGAAAATCAATGAAAAGCCGACGTCTTATTGCTTCTCGCCAAGATAAAATGTGGAAACATGTGAACATTGAGCATGTTATCTTCACATATAACGGTATTTCTGCCCCAATGCCTATTCAGAAATGCCCTTCAAATGGGTAAATACGCGGACCGCTAGCATGCTAACGGTAGCATTAACTACTTGGCCAACAAGTGTGCTAACTATAAGCTAACGTTAGCTTGACAAGCTATCAGCGTTAAGATTCCAGTTAACGCCAACTAGTCTGACAACCAAACCTATGAAGTTTCCCTCACGAAATTTACATTGCCGAGATGACACTTTGACAGCATTAGAGAGGCTGCAGCGTAGCAACTAGCTGGTACAAATGTGCTTTATTCGCTGGCTAACGGAGACGACAGAGGCAGCAGAACTCACCGGAGACTCCACACAGTTAAACTTGAATAGAACTTGACTCCAAGACGACCCTCAACCATTCGGAGAACGTCCAACTTAAATTCATTAGAACTATTTTCTCGGTAACATCTGGCCTTGATAGCACACACCGCGTACAAATAAATTAGTAAAAATGTAACTACAACTATTTACAGTGCAACTTTTCTTGTATCCTTTCGGCCCTTGGATAATTCCGCTATGGCGAAGGGGAAGCGGAACTACCGACCCAGCCCTAGTCTTTTCAGTAAATGTTTCAAATGAATGGTGTGTGTGAAATTTATCTGCTCTCTGGATCCAGAAATTACAATCTGTGTGCATAACTGCACCGCTAATGCTCCCAGCACTAATTCCACCTTTTTCACAACAGGGAACTTGCTACCAAAAGAATGAAACATGCCAACATTTCAGAATCTGGAAGTTAGAAGTTGCTTTAAGTCGAAAAGCATTTTAGGTAATGTAGTTCAACATTTATAGTATGTAAGGAGGACTTTACTCCAGGCTCTGCTGAAGTACTGTTTAGCAAATCCTGCAAGCTCAGCTGGACTGGGAAATATTTTAATTTAATCACTGTCCACTAACATAGCGTGGTATTTTAAATTAAGATAACACATTTTAATTGCCTAAATTATAACAATACTGTAGCAAAGTGGTCACAGCATGAGCTCTAAAATAGACTACAAGCTCAGTTTGTTGCACTTAGCTCGTCCACATCAGTCACTTTAATTTAACATGGTGTTTGCCTAGCCTGTACCCAATATGGTATGAATATTTGAAAATATCGAATTAGGCTACGCATTTATAATTATATAGCTGTATTTTAATTATTGTGCTATTTATTTTCTATATCATCCAGCTATGTATTCTTGTAGCAGATGTCACAATCTGCCCTTGTGGATGACAGCAAACTTGAAAAAAAAAATTACACAATGTCAAAACTTGCCACTGTTAGCATTGCTATATTTGTTTTATCCACACAGTCTGTGCAATAGCCTACAGCTATTTAAGTGAAAGTCTCAAAACCTATGCTTTTATTAAAGACGTTTAATCTGACCTTTTGTAACAGTGTTAGAACACAAAAGAATGAAACTCTGTCAGCAAAAGATCTCCTTAGTTTACCAAGTAAAAATTCACCACAGAGTACACAAAACAGCACTTTTTTGTGTTATTCAGAGTTTAAAATATTATTTGCAGTTTCACACAGAGTAATTAAACAAAAGTCAACTATTAGAATGCCCTTGGTCAAGTTCCTCTTTCTGAGACAAGATTATAACAGGAAGACATCTTGCAAAAAAATAAAGAAAAGCTGTCTTAACTGCAACAAACATGTTTACATTCAGTTACTGTCATCTGTTCCAAGATGCTCACTAACCAAGTTATTTGGATTAAATTGGGAAGTAAACCTGGATTATGACATGTCTTTGATTATAAACCCAAGACTGATGTATCTGGTATCAGTAGAATGTTGAGCATCACTGTTTAGATGTGATGTTTCCACATGTACTTGGACAGTGCCACACAGCAGATCACTGTGACCAGAAGAGTTCCACCGCATACAGGCATCACCAAAGTCCTGTCACCAACTGGAAACTGGAAACTCACAGGGGCATGCTCCTACAAGGCACAAAATTATTTTTTAAAAAGGAAAAGCAACAACAAAAAATTGTATGCTAACAAGTTCCAACTTTTTTTCTGAAGACCTTGAAAAAGATTTATAGAAAACCACAAAACCACCTGCTGACACTGGATTTTAACCCATGAACATGTGCTTGAATTGTCAGCAGTGCAGGGAGCATCCATGACATTATGAGGGTCCAAGTTGTTGAGCTGCATACCTGGAAGAAAGAAAGAGTTTTTGACCAGGGAAAACATTTATCTTTTCAGCAAACAACACACTGGGCTTTCAATAGTCAATTTACTGTTTGACCACACTCAGAAAATAATTATTTTGACAATATTTTGATAATAACTATAATCTGTATATTATTTACTACAAAAGAAACTTGATCCACTTACACTTTTCAGTGCGCAGCAAAAGCTCTGGAGGTTCTATGTTGACAGATGTAAATGTTTTCCCAATAAAAGACGGCTCACTGTAGCGGCCATGTATTGGAATTGTTACTTTTAGCAGTCTGGGAGATGGCCCATCAAGGGTGGGATACACATAGGTGACAAATCCTGAAGTCTTGTGAGCTGGCACCTCTAGGTCTATGTCTGAATTGAGCAATATCTAGAGAGAAATAAAATTTTAAAATACATACAGGCTACATAATGTGCTTTATAACAACTTTATACATTTAAAGTTATTTAATCTACAACAGAAAGTGTGCAAAAGGGGGCTTGAACACTTTCTAAACATACTAAATACAGTGTGCTCTGTTCATATCAGAGAATGGTAACAAGTTTGTCATCTTACTTGCCAGTCTCTTTGATCACTCTCTGCTGCGAGTTGGTACGGATCAAGGTAGACTCCTCTGGGCCATCTATAAATCAGTAAAACATTGACCTCAGCGACCACATCAGGGCTGAGCTCAACAGTGGTTACCACCTCCCTAAAATATGACAAGAAAATCACTTACTCATTTCATTCACAATAAGCCTCGAAGATTTTTCTACCTGTGGTAAAAACACAGCCAGTACCTGTGGAAACCCTTTTTGCCAATCTCCACTGACACTGATGTTGATTCAAACCACTGCTTCAGTGGACCACAATGCTTCTCATTCTCACCTGTAAAAATGAGCAGATTGCCTCGATAAACACCACAAAGCTAGACGGAGTACTCGACTTTGTATCAAAACTGTAATTATGCTTTTGAATTATAACTTTAAATTTGTTAGCTTCGACAAAGAAAGGTGTGTTAACTACAATATACAAAAGGTGAGATAAGTACATAGCCATAAAGTAACTACTGGAATACCAAAGAAGGTACAGTTGATTTTTTGAATGGAGAACCCCAAAACTAACGTTAACGTTATTCCACAATGAGCCTATCGGTTTTAGCTAGAAGTTTTGTATCAATATACTGTAATACTCTCCGTTCCTACACAAGCAGCCAGATGTTCTTGCGGTATCAATGTCCTTTTATAATACCTTACCATCGTCGATTAAACAATAGCATGTCGACAAACAGGTCACCATAGAGAACAGTACAATATACATCAAAATGGTAATAGGAAACGTTTTAGTCAATGATGCAAAGGCTACTTGACCCTCTTGTTTGATTGTTTGCGGAAAAGAATCTTTAAGGCCCCTTTCGTAGATTCGCGGGAGGTGCATCATTGCCTGACTAAAAAAGTGAATAAAGGTGCAGAGAAGTAAACCCTGAAGCAATGATTGTGTAAAAATGATATTTCCCAATAAGTCACTAATCATTACGCTCAGTATATGTCAAATAGTAAGACATTTAATGTATTTTCTGTAAATGTATACAGGCTTCGGCGAAGACAGAAGGGTTTGACACCGAATAAAATAAGGTACCCTGGTAACGGGTCTTTGAAGCTGCTAGCGTAAATTTTGGCCACTTTCTCTATTGGTACTCCTGTGACAAATAACTATATGTTCTGTTGATTACTGTGGCTAACATTATGTAGTCTTGATTGCTTAATTAGACTTGCTGCACAATATGCGTTTCGAGGCAAAACGCTGTGGAGTGCAGTTCAGCCCCCCCTCTATAATTTTAATTTATGAACACAAGGAAACCAGAACCATGCGAAAAAGAATAATACCTGTGCGGAACTTCTCAAAACATTCAGGTAAGGCAATATCAAGTACTGACTTTAAGTATACATTTACAACAACGGCAGTACTATGTAACAAGTAGAAGTAGACCGTAAGGCCGTAATTACAAATTCAGGGGCACGCTTAAAATATTAAGGCGCTTCCACAAAGTAACGCTAGTTTAAATCCATGATGCGCTCTCTCCCTGACCTTCAGACTACAGCATGGCTGCTGAAAGGCTGAAGAACCACCTTCGGCACAGGGACTACCTGGAGGGCGTGTCCCAGAGACAGCTGGAGAAGCTTCACATCATCCTGCGAGACCACATGCAGGGCTTCAGCCTGGAGCGCAGCCTGGCCTTGTTCCGCCTGGACCCTGATGAAGACCTGAACAAACTGGACGAGGAGGAGCTGGCTCGCAAAAAGGGCCAAATGGACGAACTTTTTGAGAAGAACCGCCGGCACAAAGATGATCCTGACTTTGTTTATGACCTGGAAGTGGATTTCACCAAGTCCACTGCAGAGAAATGCAGCTGGGATGAGGGGTCTGATGATGGATTTTAAAACGTTCTTTTATTCTTAGTGTCAGTCTCCCCACAGTCATATCAATTATTCTGTATTATCCACAGTCCTTGCTGTCCGTAATTTTAATGAGAAGTGGTTTATGCAGTTTTGTACTTTGTTGGGAAATATATAACACACCAAGCATTTATTGTTGTATCAGCATAGAACTAGACAGCTCTCAGAAAACGCAAACCCACGTTAAGGCAGCTCACTTTCTCCATAATCCCCTTACACCTTAAAGCAATATTCTCATGAGTTTGATTCATTAGGATTCCTTGACCATGAAATACTACCCCTAGCGTTTGGAATCACATTAATATTAGTAGTTTGAAAGTTATTTAAAAAAAACAAAACAAATAAAACCTCAATCTCACCAATGGCAGTTTTCATCAAAATCGAGCTTGATCACTTTTGAAGAAACATAAAATTTGCTGACACCCAACTGAATCAGCAGAGTTCCAGCTAAAATCTTTATTGCAAGGCTGTAACATTTTTTTTTTGTCTCAGTAGAAATGTGACCACAACATCCATAATATTACTTGGATCCAGATCATACTTTGGTGTTTGGTAGATCTTATGTGGATGTTATTATCCAAGCATTGTAGGCATTGTGTATGGAGTTAGAAGCAAAAATTGGCCCCATTTCACAATGCTGAACAGTCTTTTATCAATCATCTATCTACATGGTTAGATACAGTGCCACTGGGTGAAAATTTGTCAGTCAGATGCACAAATCCAACCACTCTTTGTGAATCCTGTGGTCAATTTCTACACATATCACTAGTTCCATGTCAAACAGGAATGAATGAAATAATACATGAATGACAGTGAATATTTATTTGTTATAAAATACTGAATTTTACAAAATACAAAGACTTTGGCTTTAATTTGTGGCATACAACTAAGTGAATGGTATTCACAGTTGAATATGAAAGATGCTAAAATCCTATTAAATAAAATGTGTTCACCAACAAGTAAGCAATGCAACAAATATACAGGTATCTTTGGAAACAAATGTCCACAAAATATAGCTTAATATTATACAAAAAATATACGTATACATTTTCATATATGATTTGAAGCAATGTACTATGGAACAGTTTTAATTGAAATAAACTACATAATAAAACCAAGCCTGCCGTATCAAACCTCATCAGGGGGAAATTTCAAAGTTCTTCAAAACCTCATTCAGTTGACAAAAGAAACTGGCTGACAGACCATGAGTACCACAATACATTCAAAGGTGTCTCAGTTTTGTTTTTAACACAATAAAAGAATGAATTTACATTGCTTTCCTTGTTTGGTTTAAGCAAATTAAAATCTTTTTACATCAGTATCAATTGCAGTCTCCAGTACAGTGCTGCTGTAATTCCCTAAGGAGGTAGTAACAGAAAATCTGACACATAATTCCTTTGACTACCATTACTTGGTAAGGATTTAGGTGTTTACAATTGTATTCTCAGCAGGCTATTCATTTGTTTAAAAATAGTTCTTTATAAAACTGATCTTTCAAGTATGCTAAAGCCACAGTCTAAGAGTTCAGTCTGGAGAGTGTTAGTAATGACATAGTTATCACTTGAGAGAGAGACTCTGATTGGTAATAATTTGTGCAATTTTAACTCCACTACCCAGTGTATACAAATACAATACAGGCAAATTAATTATTGTAAAGCTATTGGACAAAGACAGCTGGCTTCAATCCAATAACGGATATAGTAAAGCCAACAGTGGGGAGTTAACTGTGCCACAAGTGTATCTATACTCCAAATCTGAATAAGGCCTTTAACAAAGCTGTATATTCCACCATTTCTATGGAGAGTTTCAAGAAATGAAATATATCATTATTATACTACACAAAAATACATACATTAGTTCACTATTTCTGGAAATAAGAGCTCATTTCTTCTTCCTGTCTTGGGTGCATCTTGGACAAAACCTGGCAGGAGAGTGGAGAGGGGGGGGGGGGAAAAAAATGATAAAAAAAATAAAAAAAAAGGAGAGGGGGGGGGGGGATAATAATGATAATAATAATAATAATAAAAAAAAGAAGAAAAAAAAAGATTTTCAGTCACCAAAAACTGAGCAAACTGTTGTTGTGAGTCCTAAAACCTGGACCTAAGTTAGCATTTTTGCACTTCCTCTTCCCTCGCCCTGAAGTAAATGGGTTTCTTGAATAGTTTTTGGTTTGATGCATGAAATATGGTCTGTAGTTAAAACAAAGTCAATACACTTTCATGTTTTGTTCTACAACATAAAATACATTAGTAAATACCCCACCCCTGATTTTTATTTTATTTTTTTTTTAAAGGCGAGCCCATTTAATTAGTAACAATCTGGCCTTTTTGCAAAAACATGTCCTTTTTTAGATTTTTAATGCTTTTACCTGTCTTAAATAAGATGGTTGCTAACAAGCAGCTAAATGAGACTACAGACGTTTGGGATATAAACATTGTCACACCGAGCAACGACTCATCTACTCATTACTCTGCCTTTACAGTCTTGTTGTGTTTAAATTTTTGCATTTGCAAACTATTCTAACTGACAAAGCCATGATCACTAGCTAGATCAGGTCATGCTAAGATGAAAGGATTTAATAGAAGAGGGAAGCAGGCTAAATCAAATTACAAGTTGGAAGCTGCAGTTGTGACATTGAAGTCATGGGGCCGTGGTGTAGTATGTTTATAGCCCAATAACAGTTTTGTTTTGTTTTTTTTACTTCTGGTGATTGCATTTGGGCTTCAAAAAGAGATTTTCACTTGTGAAGATTATCTTGCTGAACAAAACATGCAAGTATATTAAACTTTTGTTTGTCACAGACCTTTTTTTCTGCAGGATTCCAAAAGCCTATGGAAAAATCCCACTCAGTTTTATTCAAGAGAACCATGGTGATGCTAACTTCTGGCTTCTGTTTTCTTCCATAAAATGTTACTTAAGAAAAGAAAAAAAAAACAGGTTACACCCTTTGAACTAATTAAAAGCCCTTACCACTTTCCTTTAGGTTTTGTGGCGAGATCAACACAAGCAAAGTGAAACCACTCAATCGGACACTGAAAACAAAGATGAAGAACTGTATCAGTATTTTGAATTTCCAATCAAATCAGGTAGTCAACAGACATTGATCATAAAGTGACATTTCAAATTTAATATGAGCACATTGGAAACACAGCGAGAACCTACATCTGGGTTATCACATCCAATCATCTCCCCGTACGACACCTGATGGCACAGGCAGTATGTAGGCTCATTGGGATCAACTGGCATGTCCAGAACATCTGATGGCTGCATAGGCAGGAGAGCCTCACTCAAGTCTGGACTAGAAGGCCAACATGACAAGAAGAGCAAGATTAGAATAACACAGTTTAAATAAATCAAATAGGGGACAAATTAATGAGTCTTCTGCTACAAAAAAAAACAAAAAAAAAAACACGGAGTATATGAGAAAGAACATTTTCTGGTCTGAACTCCTCCCCTCTGGATGGCGTTACAGGTCACTGTGCACGAAGACAACCAGGCACAGGGACAGTTTCTTCCCCCAGGCTGTCGCTCTGATGAACTTAACCCATGACAGTATGACTGGACAATAACCCTCAGTGCAATACCTGTAAATATACCTCGTACAGATTATACAGACTTGTACAGTTCTCTAGTTTTAAGTACTCTGTTTTATTCCTATTTATCTCATTTCAATGAATATTCCTTTGTTGTCTGCATTGTTTACCATCTGTTTATACTGCTTATTCTGCATTGTTTGCACTGTTTGTTGCCGTCAGTGTTACTGTTAATACTGCTTATTTTGTTATATTACACAGCCTTATGCTGGTTTACTGTTTGCACATTGAGAGATGATGTAACTGAGTCAAATTCCTCGTGTGTCCGTCACACCTGGCCAATAAAGCTGATTCTGACTCTGATAAAAATGTGTAGTGCAGATTATGAAGCAGACATCAATTGGCTTGACTGAACCAAAAACACAAAGTTACCCGTTTTTCATCTTTTTCTTTCTGGGAGAATCTTCATCAGAACCTTTTCTTCCTCTTCCCCTGGATCCACGCTTCTCTCTCATTCCCCGAGAGTCACCTTCTGTGGAAAATATTTACATTTACAGACATTTGTTTCACAGTGTTTTATGATAAAAGCATTTCATTTAGCCAACTTTACTTTTCAATCCTCTTGTGTCTGCACTTTCATATCCACTCAGTTCCAGCTTCTCCTTTAGTTCATTTTCAAACCGCGCCAGGTCTGCATCGAGTCTGCGGATATGTTTGTCGACCTATGGTAGAAGGATTTTGTGTAAATTAGAACCTGACCGTGTGTAAGATTTTATTAGCAAATTAAAAATATACTCGATGAGAACCATTCGGTACAATAAAGTGCACAGTAAAATGGCAATTTACAAAATGTTGACTACAGAACTTCTTAATGACAAAAACATCAGGTAACAGGAAACATTTAGTGTTTGGACTGACCATCTCATATGTCTGCATTGCAAGCTGAACCTTGTCATCGCTGAACTCTTTGCACTTGCTGTAGGCATTTTGGATCTTCTGCAGGTGTTCCACTCTCTGTTGTGAGGTCAGGTTCTTCACATTTGCTATGTACTCATCAGCCAGTTTGTCAATCTCACCTTTTTTTTCTGAACAAACACAATTAACAGAGCGATGGAAAAACAGTACTGATGGCACAACACACTTAAGTTGGGATATTTACTTGAACTGATTAACTTTAGTTTCCCATATACCGACTTATTTGTGGCAGGCCACCACACATTGATCTAAAGTGCACAGGTTAAATCTTATTTCAATGAAGTGCTGAACGTAGCGCATGTGTTCGCTCAGTCCCTCCATGCGCTGCTCTATTTCTCCCATACAAACACATGACGACGGAGTGTCTGAAGAGCTCCTCCTCTCCATTTTTGTTTTTTTAAACACAACGCTGTACAGATATTCAACTCTTCTAATATGTAATTCGCAAGCTAGTAAGGCTAGCTAAGCTAACATTATAATACAGCTGTTGCTGCGGTCAGCACACCGTTTATAGCATGAATGTATATGGACTGCTCTGCAAGTGAATAAATGATGCCGAATGTTTGCCCTCTTAGTCCAGGGGAATATCAAAAAACATGTTAGAAAGCTCATCAGTCTAACCAGTGTGATCAGCGATCCAAATGATTCATTCTGACTATTTACTGGCACTGCTGAAGCAGCGAGAGGATCAGAGAGACAGAGGGCTGCAAGGGGAACAGAGCGATAGGCGTCCTTTATTGCTGTGTAGCAGTAGTCCAGTGTGTTTTTGTCCCTGGTGAGTTAACTGACCACTGTATTTAGGCAGTTTCTGGGTGAGATTTATTCAGTTAAAATCCCCCAGAACCATGAGTGGGGTGGGGAGTTGGGATGTTTCAGTTCCACACTAGTTATCAGTATGGCCAGGTGCTGTAGTGCGCCAGCGGTCTTATATACACTCCAACCAGAATGAATGAAAAATTCTTACCTTCAGTCCTACTGTCCAGGTCCCGCATCAAAGTAAAGTTTCTCTGTAGCTCACATGGTAGGTTTTCAATACCTAGAGAATGACATTTTTTTTTTTCCAATAAATGGATGTGATGTCATTCAAGGTAGTTAAAATTCAACTAATGTCCTGGGGTGTCATAATTGTATCCCAAAATATTAGTGGATCTTTTTTAACATGGTAAACTTGCAGTGATTAATTCTTAGACAATAACATAAAATCAAGTGACTGACAAAAATCACCCCACACAGTAGCTCTACAAAACTTATAAATCTCTTTAGTCCACTGATTTCATTGAATGAGTCAATGCTGCTGAGAAACACAAAGGCAACAGAATGCTTCAAAATCCTGTTCAAAAATAAGACTATGATAGGAGAGTAGAAGATAAATTTGGAATTAGGCCGAGTACAAAATACAGTAACAAGAAAAAGTAATAGCACTGTTTGCCATTTCCTGGTTTTCTGCATAAATTGGTCATGAAATGTGATCTGATTTTCACCATAGTCACAAATATCAACAAACAATATTTCTAAGCTGTTCTAAGGAAAAGGGAGCACTTAAATTGATGCAAGGGATCTCCCTGCTAATGCAAAAAGCAGAATCATTGTCACGTGAGACAGATTGCACAGGGATCTAAATCAATCTCACACACACACCATTTGCGCGCAGGCGCAAATGGTTAACTGACGGGAAACGCGGTTACCAACAGGTTGTAAATGCATAGTGTCTGCTATCCTTAAGCAGACGCAACAACTGACCAAACTAAATACAGTTCAAACCTTTTTTTAAGGATGAGTATTGGCAATACTTTACATAACCACTGCTAGTTACCTCACTACTTAGCTTCTAGCTAACCATGTTAATGTGAGACAAACACCAACCGTGTAGCATTAATCTCGTTAAGTGTGTGACGTTTGTCCAGATAAAGGTTACATTTGCTTCCGAATGACTTCAACACCACATTTAGTTTAATTAACTTCATCCCACCGAAAGCCACTCATGACGCTAATCAGTTAGCTAGTGAGCTAACATCAGTAACCTAACAGCTAGTTAGTGGCTAACAACGCACTGCTGGCTGGCACCCGCCATTCGAGAAAAAGTCTTCGACACACTCAAAACTAAATCTCAAATAGACATAACATGTTGAAAAATATGAACACTAGTGCACTGTATGCCCAGATACTCACTGTCAAGGTAATGTTCCAGATATATTGCCGTCGCCATCTCAGGGCAGCTACTTAGCTTCTGCGTACTTAGCTCTCAAACTGTTGACTGGAGAGCTGATGAGCTTGTTTTGTAAGCCTGGCTTGGCCGTCGGTCAGCGGCTTGAAGGTACTTGTTTCTGCCCGCAGTCATAGGCTTCTCCAGACGGGAATCAAACTACGTTCACTACTGCAAATCGATAAAATCAGTTTTCCGCCAGCTCACATGTACTCAGGTCCCCTACAGGATACATCTCTGCTTGTAATTCGCATGCGCAGCGGATAGCGGGACCTGGAACGGTTCGTAAGTTTCATTCTGTAGAACTCAAATAAAACTTTACTCAGTTTAATGCTTAGGTCATCTCCACTACTTATGTGCTAACTACAGCTTATTATTTATTTGGTTCAACGTATCTACTCCCCGCGGCTCACCCACCATGTGAGCGTAGAGGGAAGAAGTTAACTTTATCGAGCGCGCCCTCTCCGCGTTTGCTAGCAATTTCTATTGCTATCAGCTGATAGGTGACGTCTTTCAAAACAAACGCCTCCCTTTTCACAGAATCTGAATATTAGAGGAGATGCTCCGTAGACGGGGGTGACAGCAGTTGTCAGCGACCAAATAGCGGCTGTCTGCGGGTGGTGTACACTCGGGTTATTGGTCAGGCGCTTGCCACTCTCATCTATTTTGCTTATTTTACTTCCGTGTTTGCTGTATCTTCCTGAACGAGTTATTTCTTTTTCTTTTTTCCGACAAAAAACACCACGCTTTGTCAGGTAAGTAACTAAAATATGTTGTGCCTTTTCCATTTTCCTGTGTGCTGTAATGAGGATCACATTTTAGCGTTTCTGCTAATATAAATAGTACGTTAGCTTGTTACTTACGTCTTTAGCGTTATACAAACAAATGTTAACGCTAGCTAACCTATTCTAATGATACGTTTGCTGTCAAAAGAAATACAAACTAGCGTTAAACATATGATTGCTTTAGTGATTCCGGTGTTATTGTGCTTACATTTACCCTTAGTGTATTAATAAGAAATGAGAATGACCTATTCACAATTGGCCTATTTACGTTACAGTTAAGCTAGTGTCCTAACTGACAGTGAGAACCACAATTATTAGAGACCAATTGATTAGCTACCTATCAGAAAGTTAGTCCTGGTACTGACAACTATCCAGTATCTAACGTTAATGTTGCTCTGACAAACAAACATGGTGTCTGCGTTTCTGTTCATGAGCCCATAAACTGTAAGGTGCAGTGCTAAGTTAGATACATTATCATGTTAACCTGTCGCCCACTTTAAATCGGCTCGATCGTCTGCAAACAAGAAAACAAGATCACTGCTCACTTTTTAAACACAGCTTTTCTGTTGTGTTCTGAACTTGTGTGAGGATTTTTGCTATGGTGTTAATAATAGTCACGGGGACACAGTGTATGATAAGTTACCAGCCCTTAAGTTTTTTTTTTGACACTCTCATAGTTATATATTTTATTGTTGTAGGTGTTGCTCCTAAGATGGCGATGATGAAGAGTGGTTGGCTCCATCGACAAAGTTAGTAGCCTTAAAAAACTTTTTTTATTCCTTTTTTTTTTACAGCAGATCATAATGTCTCTTATATAGGTGGAAAGATATTGTGACAATTGTGAAATTTTGTTTAAATAAATCCAGTTTGGGTTGAGCCTGACTGTAGAATATTTTAATGAAAGGTACCATACTGCGTCGGTGGAAAAGGAACTGGTTTGACTTGTGGGCTGATGGCCGACTGGTCTTCTATAATGATCAACAACGGCAGGACATGGAAGATGATGTCCACATGAGGATTGACTGCATTAACATTCGCAGCTCTGCTGCATGTCAAGGTAAACTGTCAACATGATGATGGAATTAGCACACACCTATGGTATTAACCAGCCTTTGATCATAACCATGTCTGTTTTTTTTTTCCTTTCAGATCTGAACCCACCTGAGGGGAAGATGCGTGATGCCTTGCTCCAGATAGTGTGCAGAGATGGACGGGTCATCAGCCTGTGTGCAGACAGTTCAGATGATGCTCTGTAAGACATGCAGAGTCATATCAGTTTGATGAATTATTTCAACTTTACATTTTGGTTCTGTGTTGTATGTGTTAATGTTAGGTATTCAGTGTTGATATTTACAGATTAATCATTATTTTAATTCCAAGTTGATGTGGTTTCCACTTCTTTTTCAGGGCATGGACCATGGCACTTCAGGATGCCAGAATTAATGCAGTGAGTTTTTTTCCCCTTAAATGACCAGTTTTGCTAGTGTGTGTACCTTTTTTCCCCCTTTTCTTACCAAAATAAAAGTGGGAAGTTGTCACATCACTCTGTTAACCTTTATGTGTCATATTAAATAAATTAGATCTCTTATAAGCTGAACATAAAGATTTACAAAATATTATTTCCATGATCATCAGACTGGAGGTCAGGGAGGCTTCTATTACTTGTTTCTGGCTGTACCTCTTTGTTGTGCTTGTATAATGGTATCTTCAGTACATTACAGAGAACCCATCATCATGTGGCTGATATTTTCTCCAATTTTTTTAATGTCTGTCTCAGTTTTGTTGGGGCTTATTCTCAAGTTTCAGGTGCAGTGGCCTTATTTGTCTTGTCTTTTATTTTTAGGTTGTTGCTGCTCCTCAGATCAGCTTTGCACAGGAAGCGATTGCATCTGCTCCTCCCCCCTACTCAGAATATGCTCCGCCACCTCAGGTACAAGGCATAAACAGTTTGCAGATGACTAAAAATTAGTTAAGTTGAGTTTAACATTAAAGAAACTATGGACTGTACCTGTATATTTCAAGCCCCTAAAGCCATTTCTTCTTCATAGTGAATTAGTCAAACTCAGTCCTATACTATAAGCCACTAAGCAGAATAGTTACCAGTCCATTTTCATTACAAGTATACACTGTTTATATCTATAACAACAGACAAGCATTGTTAAAGACATAAAAGCTAGAAATGTTTGCCTAGGCTATGTACACTACACTGTATATCACATTTAATCACTGTATGTGTCCTACTACACATTGACTTGGTTCCATATGACTGCTCTTAACCTTCAGGAGTTGACGATCACGCATGTTGATGATGTATGTCAAAGTGTACAAATAATTGTCAGGTGAAAAAAAATGGGGTTGTGCTGGAGAAAATTATGCCAAACAATGGCATGTTAAATATATTTTCATGTGATATACAGTATATGTATATATAAAGTTAAAATCAAAACTATTAAAAATCAGCCAAAGTAGCCAAAAATATTCCAAGACTGAATGATTAAAGGAAAATCAAGCTCATGAGACAGGTAAAGCTGAAAAAATAACAAATGACCCCTACTGCCATCTACTGGTGTAGCAATGAAAGTGGCTGAACGCTCCATAGACCATCACTTGTTCAATTAACACTAGATCAAATTGCTAAGTAATGTTAAGAGCATGGCTTCATACAGAGGAGCAGCAAAGTCTTAACTGCCTTCTTTCCTGTCATATTTCCCCAGGTCTATGCAGGCCCATATGGAGACTATGTTGCACCTCCACCACATGCTACACAGATTATATACTCTGCTGATGGGCAGCCCTACACTGTTGCTTATCCTTATCACTCCCAAGGTAAACATTACTCACCACCTGTGCAGAGGTAAAACAGTCATATTGAATGTAAGATGGAACTCAGTGATATAAAATTAAACATTTTTTCAAAGAGTCTGCCCTACAATCATGCTAGCATCTTTATGAGGCTTACTTGCAGTGTAGTACATTTATGTCATATGGGACAGAGGTAGAGATGGGAAAGATTCCAATGTTAATTAGCCTTCATAACATAAAGATGGTTGTATGATTACATAGTCAGTCATGTGAGGATTAAAATACTTTGAATTGACAATGTAACATTGTATCCATTCAGTTTTAGATTATTTACCGGTACATTGAAAAATATCCTTTGATATGAGGCATCTATATTTGGTTTTTGGGCACTTCTTTAAGTGCCAAGTGTGATATAACAGAGCTTAATGAAAAATCTGAATTTCCCAGTTGTGATTAAGACTTGGAATAACATAAATCTGTCTGATATGTAAAGTATAAGTTTGATATGACATGAAAGCAGCATTAGGCACAAAAGGGTTTTGAGCTAAATGCTGATGTTAACATGTGGACATTAGCATGCTAACATTCTCACAGTGGTCTTGCTAACACACGGGTGTTTAGCAGCTGTAATGATTATGATGTTCACCATCTTAGCTTAACTAGCTAATTAACCTTAAACCCTAACCATACTGATTCTCATGGGCATGCCTTTAGTTTTGTGGGTATTTTGTTCATAAGTGCTGGACAGGTTAAATGTTTAACTTGATGAAAAGGATCATCAAAATGATTCAAATTCACCCTGAGGGCAACATGGAAGTTTGTGGAGGCTTCTATCCAGAGTTCACTGATATATTTCAGTGTGGACAAAGGTGGTGGTGTCACCCCTGAAACAATATTGGTAAGAGGTTTACAGTGCCTTGCAAAAGTATTCATACCCCTTGAACTTTTCCACATTTTGTCACATTACAACCACAAACTTAAATGTATTTTATTGGGATTTCATGTGATAGACCAACACAAAGTATCGCATAATTATGAAGTGGAAGGAAAATGATACGTGGTGTTCAAGATTTTTTACAAATAAAAGTCTGAAAAGTGTGGCGAGAGGTATGAATACTCTTGCAAGGAACTGTACTGTATTTACACTGGCTCACCCATGTTTCTATAGTAGAACGTGAGTCCATAATTCCTGTTCAGCAGTGGCTGTGCATGACTTTGTACAGATCATTGCCAAAAACTGATGTTGCTGAAACTTAACTTTTCAATTAGAAAAGAGTAAATACATTTTGACACTGCAATCTCTAATGAGACTGCAGACTGTGATGAACCTTAAGCATATTGCTGATGTGTTGTGGTGGCGGCTGTGCTCAGGAGGTAGAGTGAGCCGTTCCCTAACTGTAGGGTCAATGGTTTGATCCCCAGCTTCTCCATTCCCCATGTAAAAGTGTCCTTGAACAAACCACTGATATTATCATCTGTGTGTGTGAGTTAGAGAGAGAATGGGAATTAATGTAAAGTGCTTTGAATGCAACTCAGTGAATTGAAAAACGCTATATGAGACATTTCCCACTTGTGTAGGTGGGTACCCTGCTCCTGGAGTGAACCATGTTATTATTCGGGAGCGCCACCACGATGACGGAGGAGATGTGGCTTTGGGCATGCTCGCTGGAGCGGCGACCGGCTTGGCACTTGGTTCTCTCTTCTATGTCTTCTAGTGTTTTGACTGTAGTAGCTTGCCTTTCCCCTGTGCTCACAGCATTCGGCTTCTTCTGTCATCACATGAGCTGGAGTGACGTGTGTCTGTTGAGCTGCTTCATCTATGGAGAATGATTCTGAGGGCTGGCAGCTGCTCTCTATGTATGTGTCCTATTTATGCAGTAAATACTGTTAGCACTTTCTCAAATGGCCTGAGTGGCTGTTTTCCATCTCCTTTGTGTTGTCTGAATATGAATGCTCTTATCCCAAAAATACAACTATTACTCACTCTTACAACTGACAGGAAAAAAAATGATACTCGTGGTATGAAAATTTCAGGTTCTCCCAGTTAACATCTGTTAGGTTTGCTTCTGTTTTATGGAGCACAGTTGTCCTTGATATTTACAGAATTATCTTAAAAATCAAGAATACTTTTTTGTTTTTTACAATTGTTGTGTTTATTTCACTTAATTTGACATGTATTGTCTGTTTTGCTTGTGGATATGCAGCATGTCCTCAGGTTATTTGTGGTGGTGCAGGTTCAGACAGGAGTTGTGTGCACACAATGCAATAATCACTTTCACTGTAGCAGTTTTAAGTATCCATTTGGTGAATTCTGGTTGTGATGGGATGTACGATGCTGTCGTCACCATAAGTAAGTATGTACAAGGAAACCCTGGCATGTACACAGTGTGCACTGACGTGACAAGGGCTGTTATTCCCCATCACTTGCGTGTATTTGCAGGCATTATTTATGATCTCTTGATTTTCATTGGAAGCTGTTGAATCATACTTTTCATTTTAAGTGTTTCAATTGGTACTTTGGTTTTCAGGTGCACAAACACTGATCACTCTCTTGAGATTGTTAGATTTCAATTGGATTTGACTTTTACTTTCCACTCCAGACAACTTGAATATTGTCAGATTTTTCCATACATGCTAAGTTTGACTATTTTATTCACTTATGCTAACTTGAAAACATTTGGTCTGCTTTTCAGACAGACACACTGCTCATCTTTATTAATGACAGTAACTTATTAAGATGTGTAAGATTTGTTTCAAAGTAATTTCACTTTTGCAAATTATCAGCTTGTGCAACAGTGTAACATTGATGTCCTTTTACTGAAGGTGTTATAGTTTGCAGATGTTGTTAGCTGTATCTCTCTTTTCAAATGCACTTATTTAATTATGAGGTACCCTGCATTTAACAGAAAAATGACAGTTAATTAAGAGTTGTATTTTAACAATTAAATATATTCACAAAGCTGTTTTTTTGTTTTGTTTTATTTAACCCTGATACTTTTGTTCACAGAACATGTTTTTAGCAAACAACAAAAGTGCAAATGACCACAGTAAGTTTTATTTCTGTAACCCCCTGGAAAAAACGGGCAGATCCCAGCCCCATACACAACACAGTTTGACCATCCTGGCAGGCTTTATCAGTCTGAAACTTGAAAGTAGAAAATATGTAGATCAAAACTGTGCTGTAAAATTCAGCATTACAGAAACCCAGAATACCCTCATCTCATTGCAGTTTTTAGAAGGACTTGCAAATATGTATGAGGTGTGCAGTAATTACAGCCCTAAAAAGTATTTTGTGTTTTAAAGGAGAGTGATTTTTCAGTGTTATAGTATAACCTCCCATTTATAAAAGACAACCATGCAACTAATTCTGTTAAGCACAATATAATCCCCCTTAAACTACAGTAAGATATGTAGTGCTGGAAAGATGCATTGACCCTCTGCAGGAGTGCTGCCTACCCGTACATACTTGTAGAACAGTAATGGTGACACATTTGTCTTACAAAAATAAAGACCATTAGCACTCTGGTTTGAGACATGCGAAGTAAAAGAAATATAAAATCTTGCAAATATACAATAAAGATGTAAACATGAGCCTTTGCGAAGTAATGAATTAGTGATCACAAACGGCTGATTGAAAGTTGAGAATGTAATCAATTTGGACTTTGATCACTAATTGGTTTTGTTTTCATTAACAGCAAACAATACATCAATATTAACTTGTTTTCTGTATATTTTCCCCATATCTTAATGTAATGTAGACTTTTTTAGATTTTTTTTTACTGCCAGACTAAGAAACTAAGCACTATGGGTTTCACAAACCTGTGATAGACATTTTCCATTATTTTAAAACCAACAAAAGCAAAAGATGAATCAAAATCATAAGTGACTGAGAATAATTTTTAGTGCAGCCCTGTTCATGAGCGGAGCACGAGTAGTGTCAGCCTTCTTGACCAAAATCTTCAGTAAACTTCTTTAGCTTCTCCAGGTCCTGCTCGTTCACTGTCGGCTTGGTGTTTGTCAGTGACCTCAGCATGTCTGCCTGTACGGAGAACATCACAGAGGTCAGAATGCAGTCAACTGTCTGGGTAAAATAACATACTCATACTTCCCTTCTTGATGAACATTTTAAAGTCTGTTCTTACCATAGACACAACTGGCTCCAGAAGTTTCTCCCCAGGAACGTCCATCCATGTCATCTCTATGGCGTTGGGATCTCCTGGCGAACACGGAGTCAGCAGGTCCTCCACCACAACGTTGGGATTGTTCCACGATGACCCTTGAACCTTAAGTAGTGTGTGTTTGTATGTGCAGAGGGACACAAGGAAGAAACAATCAGATCCATTAAAAGAAAGTAGTCCAGTATTACAGTTTTCATGTCCAACTCTTCCTCTCAGTTTGGGTCTGACTGATTCAGCCACGGCACAGGATAGATCATGGTGGCAATAAGCTTTTTTTTTTTTTTTACCTATATCCACTATTACCACAGCCCAATCAGAGCCTCAGAATCAACCAGCTGTCACAAAAGTAGCATTTTAAAATAGGTTTGTACACTCACTAGCCACTTTATTAGGTACCCCTGTACAATTGTATGCAATTCATGTACTCTACGTAGCTGGGGAGGACAAAAATATAGAGACACCTCTGAATATAATGTAGTCCAGTACAACACCACCTGGTCATAGTTAAAGGTGGTGCTGTACTGAACTACATTGTATTCAGTGGTGTTCCTAATATTCTGACCCTCTCATGGGGCAGGACAAAAATATACAGACACCTCTGAATTAACAGCATTAATTCCCAGAACAGGCCTTTGATCATTTGTTTCAGTAATATAAACTCTAATAGTGAAGAAATTTGGAAACAGCTGCTAGCACCTAAAATCCCAAGAGAAACGGTGTGTGGCCGATGTAACAGCAGGTGAGCAGAGCAAATCTTTCCAATCTTCTGTGAAACTTGTAGAGTTTTAAATGTACTGATGGATCAGCAATGAAGTCTTTATTAACTGGTTCTACATAGAACTGATCCCTTTGTGATCAGTTCTATTGCTATAATGGTATATTTCAGTATGACTCCCAAAAGACATTGTTTTAAAGTCTGAAATAGGAAAGGAAGGATGACAAGTGTAGCACAAACTGTTAGTGTGTTCCTACCTTTTTGAAGTGAGTGGCTGACTGAACCTTCCTGACAGGCTGCATGAGGGCGTCCCTGACGATAACACTGATGTCTGCCCCAGAGTAGCCCTCCGTTTTTTTGCCCAGAGTGATGAAGTCTGCCTCTGTCAGGTGGTTGGGGGTTGAGCCCAGATGCAGTTTGAACATGGAGGAACGGGCGTGTTCCTCTGGCAGAGGAATGTAGATTCGCTTTTCAAACCTATGATGCAGACATATGATCCTGTGAGCCATTACAAAACATTTAACCTGTTAAATCTTGGTTGTTTTCCCTTAGACATTTAAAACACTGCCAAAAACTTAACACATTATAGATGCAGAGCTGTGCTATAGGTACTATCTGTTTCTCGTGACAACCTTTTTATGGAAAAGGATGAACTAGATCACGTTTGTAATAATAATCCATTCCAGACTGACATTAAATAAAGGGTAAGACACACTGAACCCTGCTTTATTGTTTGGAACTACTCTGGGAACAATCTACATGACTTTCTGACTTAACTCTACAGTACAATCGGTCTCCTTTACAATAGAAAGAGCTAAAGACAAGGCAGACGTTTGAATACAATGGTCTACAGAAAATAAAAAAAAAAAAACATTTTATTAGTATCAGACAGTTATCACAAACTTCAACTAAAAACCTTTACCAGTAAATCGGCTCTATATGACACAGAGGAAGATAGAGAGATACAGTCATGTGAAAAAATTAGGACACCCTTTGAAAGCATGTGTATTTTGTAACATGTTTTAATATATGGTTATTTAATCTCAATTTTAACAATACAGAGAGATTAAAGTAATACAACTAAACAAGTAAAACTGAAGAAAAGTCTTTTCAAGATCTTCTGTAAATGTAATTCTACAAAAATGCCTATTCTAACTGAGGAAAAAGATAGCACACCCTCACATGTATGCCCTCTTAAAATGGCTCAAATCACACACAGGTATATCACACCAGGTGCACATAATTAGTAGATTGTTACTCAGCATTTTGAATGAGGCTTGCCCTATCTGAACCTCAGACATTTAGTTTGGTGTGCTCCTGACTTGAAGTGAGAGTGAGCACCATGGTGCAAGCGAAAGAGCTGTCAGAGGCCTTCAGAAAAAAACATTGTAGCAGCTTATGAGTCTGGTAAGGGATTTAAAAAGATCTCAAAAGATTTTGAAATCAGCCATTCCACTGTCCGGAAGATAGTCTACAAATGGAGGGCTTTCAAAACAACTGCCAACATGCCCAGGTCTGGTCGCCCCAGCAAGTTCACACCAAGAGCAGACCGCAAGATGCTAAAAGAGGTCTCCAAAAACCCTAAAATGTCATCGAGACCTACAGCAGGCTCTGGCTACTGTTGATGTAGAAGTGCATGCCTCTACAATCAGAAAGAGACTGCACAAGTTTAACTTGCATGGGAGGCGTGCAAGGAGGAAACCTTTGCTCTCTAAGAGAAACATCAAGGCCAGACTGACATTTGCCAGAGAGAATGTTGACAAAGACCAGGACTTCTGGAATAATGTTCGTTGGACAGATGAGTCCAAAATTGAATTATTTGGACACCAGAGCAGAGGACATGTTTGGCGTAAACCAAACACAGCATTCCAGGAAAAGAACCTCATACCAACTGTGAAGCATGGAGGTGGAAGTGTCATGGTTTGGGGCTGCTTTGCTGCAGCAGGACCTGGTCAGCTCACCATCATAGAATCCACCATGAATTCTACTGTGTATCAGAAGGTGCTTGAAGAACATGTGAGACCATCGGTTAGAAAATTAAAGCTGAAGCGGAACTGGACCATGCAACATGACAATGACCCAAAACATACTAGTAAATCAACCAAAGACTGGCTGAAAAAGAAGAAATGGAGAGTCCTGGAATGGCAGAGTCAAAGTCCAGACCTGAATCCCATTGAGATGCTGTGGGGTGACTTGAAAAGGGCTGTACATGCAAGAAACCCCTCAAACATCTCACAGCTGAAACAATTCTGCATTGAGGAGTGGGATAAAATTCCCTCAGACCGATGTCAGAGACTATTAGATGGCTACAAGAACCGTCTCACTGCAGTTATTTCAGCCAAAGGAGGTAACACTAGCTATTAGGGGCTAGGGTGTGCTAACTTTTTCCTCAGTTGGAATAGGCATTTTTGTAGAATTACATTTACAGAAGATCTTGAAAAGACTTTTCTTCAGTTTTACTTGTTTAGTTGTATTACTTTAATCTCTCTGTATTGTTAAAATTAAGATTAAATAACCATATATTAAAACATGTTACAAAATACACATGCTTTCAAAGGGTGTCCTAATTTTTTCACATGATTGTAAAGTGAGTGACCAGTTACCTAAAGCCTCAAAAAAACCATACTCTGTCAATTATGAGCTCACTTACAATGAACCTAGTTCAAAGATGAAATCTATAGTAAACAAATACTGGTTTATTTAACAGTCTGATGCTTCTCTCCATTAAAAGAACCCAAACTCTGACATTCTTATTAGCACTGATTTTGTTCTGAAGAAAGGAGACACTGTTTTCCGTGTACAAACCAAACTGCCTGTGACACTATCATGAAAACTAGACACCTCACAAATTCTGTTTCAGGTAAAGAATTTCACATCAAGTCATGCAGAACCTGCCATAAGGAAATGCCACGTATGTGTTACAGAGCACATACCCCAAAGTACATGTAGGACAAACATCTCACCTATTAAAATAATAACAATTTCAGAGCATGTATCAGCCATTAGACATACAGATATTATCTCTGCGGTTGCTCACCATTTTTAAAGAAAACAACCATTCTGTTGGTACAAAAAAAGTGATGCAAACACAAAGTGGTGGTCATGTAGAAAGACTACTGCACTTTCCAACATGCTACAAGAGTTAACACTCTTAACACCAAGTTTTGTCTTACAGTTTATGATGGTCAACTTGATGCTCACTGTAGTGGACCACAGAAGTTCATTCATAATGTCATTTTTGTTGTCTGTTTTTGGAATTGCCCATTTAATCCACATGAATAAATGTTTACTTACACAGTAACTCTATTGTGTATGATTGCATTTTTGGTGATTAAAGTTATGGGGCTGAATGTTTTACAGAGCCTTGTGAGGATTATAGGTAATGACTTGGTGCACCTGGGTGACAATCTGAACTAAATAAAGGGAACATCTCATTGATCTGGGTGTATGAAGCCTCTTTTTGTGCTTATAAGGTAAATTAGATTAATTTGAACCATGCCTAAGAGGTGATTATTAGGGATTGTTTTGTGTAAGTAAGTGAAACCAACCGTCTCCTTATAGCTGAGTCCAAAGTCCAGGGTATATTTGTTGCTCCGAGGACCAGGATTCCCTCATTGTCATTTCCAACACCTGAGAGGAGAACATTTCTTAAAAAGTACTGCTACTCAGGTCAAAGCTCAGATTTTTACATTTTTCTTTCTACTCACCTTGCATCTGGACGAGGAACTCTGTCTTAATTCTGCGTGCTGCTTCACTTTCGTTCTCGTTCCTGGAGCCACAGAGGGAGTCAATCTCATCTATGAAAATGATGGAGGGTTTGTGCTCTCGAGCTAAAGTAAACAGGTTCTTCACCAATCTGGAGTGAGACAGAGTTGGGGAAATAACAGATATTTAGTGTCAGTTTTTCCTCTTTCCACCAAGTTTTCATCATGCCGAGAACCTGGGCCTCACTTTTCACTTTCCCCCAACCACTTGGAGACAAGATCAGAGGAGGAGATGGAGAAGAAGGTGGAGTTGTTGGCTTCTGTGGCCACCGCCTTAGCCAGGTAGGACTTTCCTGTTCCTGGAGGGCCAAACAGAAGGATCCCTCGCCAAGGAGTTCGCTTTCCTGCACAAATGCTGCATTATTAAATGCTGTTCACAACCATACAGTTACATCAGGAGGTTTTAGTTTGACTCTTGTTTACAAACCTGTGAACAGATGAGGGAATTTGATGGGCAGGATTACGGCTTCTTTTAAGGCTTCTTTGGCTCCTTCAAGTCCAGCTACATCGTCCCACTTAATGTTTGGCTTTTCCATGACAATGGCACCTGTATGAGCAAGGAGTTTATTGACTGAAACATGAGCCATTTTGTAAAATGTCTATCTTTCCTTCTGTCTGAATTTAATTGACTGCTGTGATGGTTTCATTTACCTGAGAGCTGATTTTGGAATTTCTTTTTTTCTGGGTCATCTCCTTCATCACTTTCACTACTGAAATCAAATGTAAACAGCTCACATTATACTTCATTTAGGAGTGAACAATGACTTTTATTTTGTGTTAGTGTGCAGTAATATTTGATTTTACAGAACCCATAGCTTCCTAATAATTTCTTAAAGATAAAACCGATATGAAACGGCGAATTCTTGGGAAGGATGCTTAAAATCGGTGTTAATTTGGTAAAGTTACAATCAAATGAATACCATTAGGTAGGCAGGCACACAGCCGGTCAGATGGACATACAAAAATGTAAAATTTGTCCACACAGTAGTATGCACTTTAAAAAATATAATACAAGGTATAAAGTTTCCAATTATTAATGAATATTTATATGGGTTTAAATGAATCTCCGTTATTCCAGTCATTAGGATCTTAGCAGTCCTTTCAGGAAAATTATTTAGGAAATAAACAACTGATCATAATGAAATGCACAATGAAATAAACTAAAATAACTGGGTCTGTTATCCCTATAATTACTATACATTTACTAGAACAAACCTTTACTGGGTATGCTGGTGAAAATAATCCTCAGGAGCCTGGATTTAAACCTGAGCTGAATAAAGTCACAAAGCTACAAACATCAAGATATTGACTCATTCCACACTCAGTCTCACCCTTTGTCACCAGACTGCGACTCTTTGACAGGTTTGGCCGGAGGACTCTTCTCCTTCTTACTCAGATATTCTTTCAGCTGCTCAGCTCTGTCCAGATAGTCAGCACACTTGGCCCTGATGCTCTGTTTGGCTCGATCACCCTGGGCCTCATCTGCACCACAGTTACAGTAACAACTTAGATCATGGTGCTGTGTTTGATACAAGTGATGTTTAAAAATCTAAAATGCTGTAAAAATCAAACACTGATAGGAGACATAAGGTCCTCACATTTGACAACATGAAGGAAGTACTGCACCGAATGCTGATAACATCTGAGGGCCTCTTCGTAGTTCTTGGCCTTGTCTGCCTCTGAAGCTTTACTAGCAAGATCTATAGCTTTCTGATACAGGCAGAAAGAATAAAACAATGAATTTAGGGTACAACGTTCTAATAAGCTGAAAATTATGTGTTTATTAATGGCAAGTATTTCAATTACACCCACTGCATACTTAAAAGCTAATAATCCAGACAACCTTTAGAATGCCAGATTGAGAAAAATCCTTTTAGTTGGTGTTTATTTTTTCTATCTGGTAATATTTTAATTTTGGGATATCATTCATTTATACTTGCTAGTCAGTAAAACTATTAATCAAGATAAAATAAAGATACACCTGTTGCAGCTTTTATAAAATACATCATATTCTAAAGTAGTAGCTACCAAAACAGGTAGTGGTGATGCGCATATGCAATTTACTTCAGTAAAAAGAACCAATACCTTAAAAGTCCCCCATTAAAGGTAAAAAGTCTTGCTTCATTGTTTGCAGTTTACTCCAGTGGTGCCCAACCTAGTGGTCAGGTCCCTCAAAGGGCCACAGTATAAACCCGACCTGACTTGTTCAGGGATAAATGTAACTGAGTTAAAAGTTTAGTATTTCCCTCTGAAATGTAGTGAAGGAAAAGTAGAAAGTAAAATAAAACTACTCAAGTACATGTACTGTGAATCACACGCCTAAGGAGTACATTTGAGTAAATGTAGTTACTTTATACCACTATAAAACTGTAAACACAATTTCTTTTTCACAACCTGGCAACCCAGATGTTAAGTTCTAGCTGATCCGTAAAGCATTAGCAAATGGTTTAATTAGTATTAATGAAGCCATTATTTATTGAACCGGTAGGCTACCTACTTCAATTCACCTTTGAGGTAATCGCGTTTTAATACGTCTAAACTTTTAGTCGCTGAAAAGTTTAAACTATTAAAAGTTGACAACTCATTCATTAAAAAGACTATGAAGGTGTCTTCTGAATACAGTCTTATTATGTAACCAGGTAGTTAGCTTAGTAAAGACACTCACCTGTAAATTACCACCAGCCATTAGGGCTTGAGATCTCGTTCAAAATGAAGTCTGACGCTTTAAAAAAGTCTACAAACCAGCTACCCCTCTTTTCTCCTTGTTACATGCAACTTACTATATTTAATTTTACAATTTCACTCGGCAAACATCTTAAAGGTTTGTTGTTCTTCCGCATCCACAAAAAGTTTAGCAGCTACTGTCACTTCCGCGATGATCACGTGACAATGTTATTCTCATCTTCAGCAGCTGCTGTGTTGTCAGTGATATTTCAGTCATGATTTGAACAACTACGACAACAACAAATGATTCAAACTTAATACATTAATGTAAATATTTAGAATTGATTATTTTACTTTGTAGGAAAAAAAACGGAAATTAAATTAATCCAACCACAACAGGTGAGTTACAAGAGATATACAGGTGTCAGACAGGTGATCATCTGAATACTGACCTCTAGTGACTGTCATTGTTTATAACTAAATCATATTGTTCCTAGAATATGTAATTGCTTATTGATGCCATAATATAACTGCATATTATCTCTAAATATTTCTCTTAATTTTCAAAATAAAACAATCCTCATACAGCAATAAATATGCACATTGCCACCTTGCAATAATGAACAAATTTACACTTTATTACATGTATTAAAAAGGCAAAGAAAAAGTGTGCAAAATATCTTGAAATGCTACAACACCTGGGATAAAAAAATAAGTAGATATACCGCAGAACAACTGCATAAAGGAGATGATGCTCATGGCAGACAATGCATTTTGGATGCACATTGTGTTGCTCTAGACTAAGTCTAGGTTTATTAAACATATGAGAGCTTCGGTTCAGTTGCAGTCAAAAGCAAGCACAATGTACAGCGCATTTTGGGGCTGAGTAGATTATGACACTGTGATGCTGTAAATGTGGTACAGCAAGGCATAGAGACAGGAGGCTGGGTGGTCATCAGTTGTCTTTGTTTAAGACTTTTGGACGTAAAACCTTTAGAATGCGATCACTTTTAGTAAGATGTGCAGGCAGTTCATTATTCTGCAAAACACAAAAAGTTAACAAGCTGATGTTATCTACTTAATTTCTGTCTCTTGTGACATCTCATGTGACAAATCTAAGTGCCTTGCCTTGTTCGGTAGTGTGGGGTCTGCACTGGCCCCGAGCAGCAGCACAACAGTTTGCAGATTTCCACCTGTAACAGCAGCATGAAGGGCAGTGGAGCCATTCTGGAGAGAACAAATGAACACGTGTAACTTATTATATAAGCTTACAAAGTGGTGCTATATTCTCCAGTATCTAACAAATATCATCCTGCTCTTTAAAGTGCCCATGACATGCTTTTCTGTGTTTTCTAACTTATCTATGTTACAACTATGAATTACCATCTTAAACGTGACTGAAAGCTCAAAAAAGAGGTGTACCTGTGCTGTTGTACTTCTATGCAGAAGCAACTCAGTTTGTACAAGTCTTGTGAACTCTCGCCCCCAATTATGTAAAGTCTTACACAACAGTTCATGAATTTCCTTGAATGGTCGTAATCTCCAGGCAGTTGCGTGTTCATGTGAGCTTGCCTGACATCCACTGGTGCCATTTTAAAAGAGGGATTTTTTTTGACTGCACATAGTTTTGCGGATATATTTTACATCCTGCTGCACTATGACCAGAGCATGTGGAGAAAAATACAGGGCCTGAAGTTACTGCATATCTGAGAATGTTCCTGTACAGGGACCCGCTGTTTTACCTGACTGGGTTTAACCTACAAGTAGTGAAATAATTCGGCCGGCCAGTGATGCCCCCTGTGGTGGTGAATGATCATCAACGCTGGATTCCCCGTGAGCTCAGTACCTGTTTGTTTTGACTGCTTGAGGCCAGTGTGTCTACCGTGTGTGATGTGTTACTGGTTAATGAGCGGATTAACGATCCATGATGTTATTGTGGGTGCTACACTACCTTTTAGAATCATTTCACTACTTTGGGAATGTATGTGGTTGTGTGGGGGAAGACACAGCAATCACCGGTTGGATTTACCAACCTTGAAATTTCTAGTACTGTACTTTCCAGACTATAAGTCGCTACTTTTGTCGCTTCATGCCCACACCCTCATCATGGACAACACACGACGAAATGCATATGATGCCGCTTCAAGTTACAGGTGATCGATCTGGCTGTCGAAATATCTCATGTTACAACGTGGACACCTGTGGCTATGTACAAAATGTTTTTTTGTCTTACATTTAGTAGGTGCAGCTTATAGTCCAGAAATTACAGTACCTGCTGGGACGTAATAGTAAGTTTAAAAAACCCACACGCATGTTGCTGCAAAAGTTGCTATGTCTCTGCCTTATGCCAGTTAAAATATGGGATTTCTCAATTACCTGCTTTGTTTAGAGTGTTATCTCTTTTCATCAGTACATATACCATTGTTTACTCATCTATGGAGGAGAAATTCAAATTAATTAATGCTGCTGCGGTTCGTTGTTCTGTCCATTTTCATATTCTGGCTTGAACAGGTCAGTAAGATTTGAGGTATTGTCATTGTTGAAAACTTAGCTTATTTGTAGGTGTTTTTTGTTGATGCGTTGTCCTGGCTTCCTGACCAGTCGTGTTGAAAAGTGTTCCCCTGTCGAGATGTGTTTCCCCTTTTCAAAACTCTGTTTCATGTAGCAGTGGTCTCAGTGGTTGTGGTTAAGATAATGTTAGGATTCAGGTTAGGGAAAATGCATCCCGATGGGGAAACAGATTTCAACACAACACCAGAGAGTTGTGAAGGAGGAGGCTCTTGGGTTTTATCATTCTGAAATAATTACAGACTATCTGGAGTTATGATGGGTGCAAAGCTAAACTAGAGGTACCCAAGCTTAACTATCAAATGGCTGGAAATGAGCATGCCTTGGGCTCTTTAACCAGTTCAAAAAGGTTAGCATTAAAGGAACAGTCTCACATTTAAGGAAAATGCAAATTTTCTTTCTTGCCAAGAGTTAGAGGAATCTCCATACCAGTCTCTTTTCTATGCACTAAATAGAAACCCAGAGCCAGCAGCCAGTTAACATAACTTAGCATAAACCATGTTACCATGGGGAAACAGCTAGTATGGCTTTGCTAAAAAATAAACCTGGCAGCATGACTGAAGCAGTTAAAAAGTAAAATGGCACACTGAGGTTTTATGAAGGGTTATTTATGTACCTGACTATTTCTTGGCTGGGTTCATTTTGTGGCCATCATTGTATGCTAAGCTAACCGAGTTCTGGATGGAGCTACATACAGTCTTATGCAAAAGTTTAGGCACCCCTTGATAAATAACAGATTTTGGTGATTTTTTATTTGAACAGATGTTAACACAGTTTCTCTTGGAAATGGAAAAAATGCACAATATTTTCTGCAAACAGTGATGCATAGTTACTTCTTATGCCATAAATTGAACAAAAATAAAAAATAAAAACATGATTATGGCATGGTGCAAAAGTTTGGGCACCCTAAGAGTTCCAGAGTCTCAAAGTCTCTCACAAGGTATCAGACCTTAATCAGCTCGTTAGATCTGATGCACAGCAACAGCTGTCATTGGTAAATGCCAATTTCAAAGCTGTACAAATACTTTGACTCTTCAAACCTTGTGCACACACTTGTGGACACCCAGCAACCATGGGTTCCTCTAAGCAGCTGTGTAAGACCCTGAAAATGAAAGTTATTGATGCCCACAATGCAGGAGAAGGCTACAAGAAGATAGCAAAGCGTTGTCAGCTTGCAGTTTCCACAGTAAGAAATGTAATTAAGAGATGGCAGATCAGGGGAACTGTGGAGGTCAAGATGAGATCTGGAAGACCAAGAAAACTCTTTATCTAACCTTTCATCTAACTTGTGGCAAGACAACAAATGAATGTATTTACCAAAAGCCTGACATTTTCTTTCTTTCTTCCTTTCTTTTTTAAAGAGGACAACATCTTTGAGAGCACTGTCTACCTTGAGAAGGCCAAGTGATGGAGAAAACTTGAGAAGTTCCTCAATGACACTGTTGTGTCCTTTTAAAGCAGCTTTAAATAATGCTGTTGATCCATCCTGGAAAGGCAGCAGAGGAAACATTACAATTATTTATCAAAACAATCACCAGTCAAATTTCACTTACTTGGTTTTTCAACTAAATCAAATGGTTCTCATCAGTGGATAAATCTGAATTCTACACCGACAGAAAAGATGGTGTGTTCATGACCCTGGAAATAAAAAAGTGCTCAAAACAATGAAAGTTTGAACCAACAGTTCCATGACAAATGGAGTGTGACAGTCAAAAGCCCCTTAGTGGACCTTGAGTGAACATTGTTCTGTCAGTTGCTTTTTCCAGGGTAAAGAGTTCACTTACTTTACACTATACATATTCAGTCCTTAAAAACAAAGACAAGTTGAAGCTGAAAGGTTTCTCAAGGTATCTACAAATGACTCATAAAGTAAAAATGTCAGCCTCCTAGTCTGATATTATGCTCTCCACTTCCATCCAAATGTTCTTGCATCTCTGGGCAGTAGGATATAAGTATCCATTATCAACAGTCAATAATACATTTTATTACTTTCAATATCACAAAAGAACAGCATACTTGTCTGTCTGCATCCCGATCTGCACCACGTAAGAGCAGCACCTTCACCACCTCACTGTGACCCATCTGAGCTGCCATCCACAGGGGGGCAGTGCCATCCTGGAGATCACATTGGCAAATAGGGGGAGGTCCAGTGACAGAGGACATAAGAGGGATGAGGTGAAAACAAAAAGGACTATTAGATTCGATGAAGGCATTGGATAACCTGGAGGCAGTGCTTAATCTGTAAATTATAAGGTCCCGGAATATCACTTGATGGACCTGGCATGTCAATGTGGGGAGAGAAGGTCCGGGAATGAAACAAAAGCTCCTCAATGACCAGCGTGTTTTGGGTAGTTTCCACATTAAAGGAACAACTTTAACTTTAACACACAACATTATTTGTTGTGTGTTTGTAAAGACCAATAAATCACACAAGGAGAAACACATTTGCAAGCGCAAGTTGTAAATGTCAAGCACGAGTGATGCTAAATACATTAGGGCCATGAGGCTATGGCCTTCACCCTAATATGTGGGGACTTACTCCACTCACTCTTACAAATGAATTTTTTTAACCTATTTACTTATTTTTTAACCTATTATTTTACTGATTATTCTAATACTTTTTTCCCTTTATTTATTCTGATTTTAGTCCAATATGCTGCTGTAAAAGGCCAGTTTTTATTTATTTACATTTATTTATTTTTCATATAACCCAATTGTTTCATATGTCAAGGTGCTAGGTTTATCAAAATAAGTGCAGATGACAATTTGATCTGACTTGTTCCAACACAAATTAACCCCTGCCTGGAAGGGTGTGGAGTAAGAGCTGTGAGCTAGAGAAGGAGACACTTTGTGACTGTGTCCTTTAAAATGTCCAAAATACAGAAGGTCATTACCTCCCTCGCTTGATTAACCCTGGCACCAGATGAAAGCAGCTGGCGAATCACAGTCACATGACCCTCCTGGGCAGCAAGGAACAGAGGGGTGGCACCATCCTGAAACAGAAAAAAATAATTTTGTACACGGGGTATTACTTGTCTCATGTACTTACCCTGCTTAAAAAAAACCTGTCTGAAAAGCTTCCTACTAAGCCAAAGTGTATTTATAACAAATTACTATGTTACTACTGTTTTATAAAATGGACGTTTGTGCTGTCAGGTTGTTTTCCCAGGCCTAAGGACAGATAGTAATCCTGCCAAATGTCAGCTGTGTCTGACTCAGCAGTCTGCAGAAACCTGAGAGTCTGGATTCCAGCTGCTGTGACACTGTGCAACTAACCATCAGACAAAGAGGCTTAACACAGTGTCTGACAGTGAGATGAGACAGACCTAAACAGTGCCTGAACATGCAAAAGGGGCTCACATTCAGCTGGTCATGAACATTGGCTCCATTTTTCAACAGGGTGTCCACCACCTTAGAGTGTCCATACTGAGAAGCGACAGTGAGAGCTGTGCCACCATCCTGCCACACAAAAAGAAAACAACAGCAGGAAAAACAAATCTGAAAGTGATCACTGTAAACTGCAGCCTGAGCAGTATATTTTTGTCTCTTTTATCTCTACATGATGCATTCTGATTCACAATCTGAGGTAACATCATGTTCTCCATTACACCCACTGTTATAAATACTGTGGGCCAAGTTGTTGTGTCCTGCAGCGTACCTTTGTCTGGAATTCAGTGGAGGCACCAAATTCAAAGAGGAGCTTCACAACATCATGGTGCCCCTGCTGCGAGGCAAAGAACAGGGCAGTAGAACCTGTCTGGTGAGGATGATATAAAAAGATCCTGCCGTTGTCAGAAATGAGGAATAGAATCCCCAAAATTAGAGCTCAGATTCGAGCTTTGTTTAGACCTCATCTTTTTTTCCCCCATTTCATCATTTTCATAATGCATAAAAGTCAAGTGTATGTTAGTAAAGTACAAAAAATGTGCAATTGTTACACAGTGGGCTAAATTAAAACATAAACATAAAATGTCAATAAAGAAAACATGGTAAAAATAGAACAAATGAGAAAGACTGAATAAATGACAATAACAGATTAACAAGTTTAACAGACTGAACATGATTTCCAAATGCAATGCTGCATTCATGTCAAATGGGAGGGAAGGTAAAGATGGGAAAGGGGAGAGATTCCTTTTTATCACTAGACAATTCAAGGTGTCAGCTGATAGTATTCCTGTGCAGCTGCCTTAATCAATAAAAACTAACAAAACAACACAGAAACACAAACGTTAGCTACATTTCCTCAAAGGACATCATACTACCTAGCAGGCAAACTGTTTGCCTAAAGCACTGTTAATAGCTACTATACAGGAGAGTAAGTTGAAAAAAAGTGTAATAACAAAGCACAGTTCTTTTATTGCAGAGTTGCACATGTATGTTAGAAATACCTTGTTTGTTGAATATAGCACTAAAGCAATTAGTTACCTTTAACAAAGGACTTTGCTGGCACTTCTATACTTTCCAGCGCCAAGTCGGGTATACTGAAGCCTTCAAAAACATTTGATTTTCCCAGTCATAATTAGGTACTGAGTGTTGATGTGAATCCTATTCACAAATGTAAAACTGGTTATTTCTGCATCTCCAATATGACATGAATGTGGCATAAATATGAAGCTACAGCCAGAAGACAGTTAATTTAGCATAAAAACAGGACATCCATACAAAGACTGAAGTGTAAAAACTACAGTTTGTCTTTTATGTGGGGCTTGTGTGCCATACTTTGTCTTGCCCAAGAGTGGTGACTTCCTGGAGTTTCCTGGGTCTGCCAGCTTAGTTTAGCACAAAGACTGGAAACAAGGGAAAACAGGTACCCTGCCTTTGTCTGTAGGTAACCTACCAGCACCTTTAATGCCAAAGTATAAAAATGACCATTTCTGGAGCCTACAACCCACAATGAGACTCCAGATTCACAGTGACTTTTGGTTTGTATTTCAGAAAATTCTTATGTGCTAGTTGCATTATCACCCATCATACCTCTCTCTGGTAGTTGATGTCAGCTCCTTGCATGATAAGTTCTTTAACACACTCATAATGGCCGCTGTAAGACGCCACCATGAGCGCTGTTGTTCCATACTGCAAAGAAATATAATAACAAATTAGCAATCAGGTCTTTTACTTTTGTGACTTGCTGAAAACTGCTTTAACTGTGGTGATGAAATTGCTAAGTTCTGTCCAAATGTCACCCTTTATCATAACAGGTGAGGCTTGAAGCTCTCTGTCTCCCTACCACAGGTGGGTTATGGGTATAGTGTGCAGTTGAGCAGCCAGGACATGCAGCATCCGTACACTGTCTCTGCAGTCTGCGTCCACACGCCCGCTGTTGAGCAGCAGCTGAAGCAGAGCCAAGTTCCCCTTCCTCGCTGCCCAAAACACAGCATTAGCCAAGGGTGTTTCCTTCTGGAGGGTAAATACACACAACAAACCCTGACCTGAAACCACCATTATGGTATTATACACACTGGCAGCAAAGGGCACACAGTAAAAACAGTGACCTGTATAGCTGGATGCAACTGTAAAGTGTCTGGGTATAAATACAGGTGAGAAATTCGATCAGTACAGTTATAAGCAAACACACACACACAGTTCCTCTTTTCCAGAACAGACTAAACGGATTTGAATGAAGTTTCTATTAAATTAAATAGCACGTGCACAGTAGCCTATACAAGTAACAGCTGAATCCACATGGGACCAGGACCACAGGCCACTCTATCATACCCACACACACTACACTGTATGATTGCATTAAAGTGAGGAACCACTTCAATCTCAGCTGACGTCGGTTTTCTCGAACGGTTTACCCTGAAAATGAACATGTCCACAGTGTAAGAGGGAGCCGGTGAGATCGGGCTTCACAGAGGCCTCTGGGCTGCGTACAATGATGGAAAAAGCAGTTTTACCTTAAAAGACATCGTGCAGACCTCATTCGTGACTCATGTTTCTTCCTGTGCAGTCAGTGATTAGTGACGATGCTGAGCGCCACTCGCCTGTTTGGCCGCACTGTGTTTGGGTGTTGGCGGCGTCCGTCCGGGGACATAATAACAGAGACAGTCAGCTGAGATCATCCTCCGCAGGCAGTGCCGCACGGAGGTGCACACAGAGCAGGCCGCTGGGGGGCGCTGCTGGGCGGTGATGAATGGGTGCAGCATTAGATAATAGAGGAAGCGAGTAAGATAATTAATATTTACGTATGAGCTTTTGCAACACGACTTTTACTCCGCTACATTTCACAGGGAACTGCTGTACTTCATTTATTTGACAAGTTACTAGTTTGCCTACTTTTCGACTCAAAACGACATTTAAACATACTCTATGTTATTAAAAATTAAGCTAGTGGTTATCAAAATATTTGGCTCTTACAGAGTCGCAGTGTAAAGTTGGGGTTCCCTGTCACATTGTGTATCTGAACAGTGCCTCTTAAATTCACACATAGTTTCAGCTAAATAAATGTTCATGTTTCACAAAAAAGCCAAGATGAGAGAAGAACTTGAAAAATAAATTCAAATTTGTGCAGAACATTTTTTATCAGCATTATTTTTCTCTTCTAAACCAATTAATCTACTAAGCACTACCCAGACCAGCAGCAACAATAAAATGTTGCTTAAGCAGTTTTACATCAGGATTAACAAAAACAACATCAGATTTAATTAAATATCAGCCATGGGGGACATTTTCTATGGAATTACAGCAGCCACTTCACAGAAACCGCAACAATTAAACAAAAAGTTTTTTTTAAGTGCAATTAAAGGATAAATTCTATACATTAGCAGGTAATACTTGAAAGACTATCGATGGCTCCTATCAATAACTGAATCTGATATATAACAGATGAGATATGTAAATATAATGAATAAAAGACCAGGTGAGCCATCTGTCTTCTTATATATATAAAAAAACAAGATTTCGCTGTCAGTGGAATCCCCTAACACATCGTAGAAAAGAGCCATTATATATTTTACAAATACCTTAAGTAGGATTTTGAGTGAACAAATATTTTTACATTCATGTACTGGAAGCAAAGGGGCTGAATAACTTTTTATACCACTGGTTTTGGAAAGCTAGATGTCAGCTGTTATTGTCAATTATAAACCAGCATTTGAAGGATTTACATTAGCTTTAGCTTTCTCTAACTGATAATGGGGTTTGACTGAGAAGAAACAAGGAAAGCATTTTATTTTTGTTGACTAATGCCCTTCTCAGGTGCTGCTGTATGTGTTGATTTAGGGATTTAGTAATAGTATAGTAGAAACATGCTGCAAAGCTATATAAGGAGGCCTGACAGTGTGTCACTGTCCACAGGTGCTCACAGAACATGGAGACAAAACAGACTCACATCCATGCAGGTAAGATGGTCAGGGCTTTATATTACAGTCATATGACAAACAACTGAAACCTGACTGTGTACCTCTAATTTTAAAGCCAACTTGTATTTGCAAGTTGGACATTTTAATTAAATGTCATGACAGATGACTGTACATGCTGTTGTGGTGTGCTTCACTAAACCTTTGAGAGAGATTTACCTCTGCTAAATTAAAGCAAATTAAGCTTAAAAGTTGAGGTTACCTTTTACATGCAACATTGTAGAGTTTATGTTGAAATTATTTTGCATTATGTAATATTTATATCAACTATAACTTTTTGTATTTCATTGCATTGTTAATGAGAGTCAATGAAGAGTTTAATTTTTCTTTGTAGAACACACAGGATCATGTTAGCAGTGTAGCCTTTTCAAATATCTTTTTCCATTAAGGATATCATAAGGATATCATTGCTTTACGCCACAGTCCAAAATGTACAGAGCACATTTAATCCAGGAAGGGCTGAAATGGGTCAGGTTTTCAAAGGAACCTGCTGAAATGTAGCAGTGCTGTTTAGGTCAGAAAAATTATCCAGCAGAGTAAGTACAGTCAGGGAAAAAATTATTTGAACCCCAGCTGATTTTGTAAGTTTGCCCACTAACAAAGAACTGATCAGTCTACAATTTCAATCGTAGGATTATGTGAACAGTGAGAGACGCAACAATAACAACAAAAAAAAAAAAAAAAAAAAAAAAAAAAAAAAAAAAAAAAAAAAAAAAAAAAAAAAAAAAAAAAAAAAAATCCAGAAAAATGCATTACAAAAAAAGTTATAAAGTAATTTGCATTTTCATGAATGAAATAAGTATTTGA